GTGCAGCACACCAAGCTTCCATTCTCTCTCAGCAATCCCACAAGGCACAATTTCCATAGTCACAGCCCACAAGGGCTTCGGCGCAGCATCCCAGAAGATTTCAGAGCTGCAGCTCGCGAAGCTCCTACAAAATGACAGATGGGAAGAGGAAACAGTCGGGTGGCGTTGGTGGCCATTCCGCTAAGAGAAGCAAGGTAGGTTTTCATCTGATTTCTGTACATTGCACTACGCAGTTGATTCCTCCCGACCCTGCCTGAACAATCTTATGAGAAGACATACCATTCTTCAGTATAAGTTCATGGCTGATGAGAAAGTAGGGTGGGCAAGGCTCCGGCAAATGGCAGACGCCGCAACACAAGGCGAAGGTCGCCAGTCTTCAGGACAAGGGCGTCGCCCTCGGGGTTGGCGACAAGGGTATCTGGGTCACATTTGCCAGAGGCATGGACGGAAAGTCCATTAGCGAATTCAGCATACTATGTGACGAGGTTTGTTGATTCTGCCATCATTTCGCATTTACGCTCACTCATACGACTACGCCTCAGTACGCAAAGATACTCTACGACATCGTTCCCCCCGGGGAAGAAGTTGAATCAGACGAGGAAGACGAGGACATTGAAGCGTCCATAAAGAAGGAGCTCGATGGTATCAGCGAAGTCAACAAGGGCAAGACCAAGCGTACGTTCAAGGCCATCAAGGCTGGGATCGAGTGTGTCTTCTTCATGAAGACAAGGGATCCCATCGACCCCGTGGAGCTCTGCCGTAAGATGTGCATAGACGCCAGCGTCTGCACTGATCTCAAGGAGAGGAAGACAAAGTATATCAACCGGCTGACGCCGGTCACCTCTATGGATAAGGCATCTGAGAACGGCGTGGTGCGAGTCGCTAGAAAGGCTCTGGCCGCGCATTTCGATCTCGTAGATGAGACAGCTCAGGCTGCAGAAGGCGACGCAGAGAAGGTCGAAGGAGGGAGTGATGCTCGGACTGAGAAGCCGGCCTGCACAGTACGTTCACTCATGGCAAATTTTGACTGGGTGATTCAGGCTGACATATTTGGCAGTATGCCATCAGACCTTCCATACGCAGCAACAACTCACTTGATCGCGACACGCTCATTAAGCAAATCGCCAGCGTCGTCAGCCCGCGGCACAAAGTCGATCTCACTAATGCCGACAAAGTCATACTTGTCGATGTTTTTCAGGTAAGGGATGACTAGTAGGATAGAGCTAGCGAGCATCAAACTGACTGGTCTGTAGAGTTTCTGCGGTATGAGTGTTATTGAGCGCAGTGACTGGGAGGATTTAAAGAAGCTCAACGTCAACGAACTGTACAAGGCGTCTCCTGGAGCACAGGCAAATCGCCCGGCACCAAAGGAAGGTGAAAATGAGGCAGCATGAGTAGTGCATGAGGTCGTCAAGGATACACTTGGGATCACCCATCGACCAAGCGACGGGAGCACTTACCGTATAGCATTCGTGAAACCCCAAGCGAAATAGCCAATTGGTCTTGCGAATACCAGATGATGAGAGTTGATAAAAGGCATGATTCACTCACTTGCACCTTGACAAGCACCGTCCCCCCTGCATGACAATATCATTCGACATTGGTGGGCTTTTGGCTCACTTTTGGTTCCTTCTGACGACATTGCGTAGCAAAGAAGGCGATACGCCCCCTTCAATACATTGAGAGGGTTATTCATAGAGACCCAACGTTATACTGTGCGACTTGTGTATTCTCCTGAAGTATGGCCACTCGTCCCTCGAAGATGTTCAGAGCCGGCGGCCCGAGGTCTGGCGTTTCGATTAGTGTTGGTTGGGTAGCCTTGGTGAAGGCTGCTGGCCTTACGTACGTGACGCGCAAACCCCAAATAGCCTGCGACAATGGTCGAGCCCGGATTTTACCATACACACTGGAGTGTTTTCTAGCACAGATTTTATGCGGACTGAGCTGCTATGAGTGTTCGTCATCTCAGGGCTTCATGACGGCAATTTGATGGGAACCCGACGCTGTTTCTTGTGGGAAGTTAATCGTGAGAGGAGGAGCAGCAATGAACGACCCGGGCTCTACCAAGTACCATGATGGCCAGATATCTCTGCAACGTGATATGGGATATGGGGAAATCCATGCAAACATGGGGGCAAATGCGGTCACGTAGGTGTTGTGTTGGTGGAAAAGTAGCAGCTGAAAGCCGAGCGCTCAGGGTGGAGCGAGGTGTAAGCCGTGTGGAGAGTGCGCATCTGCAAGCATGACGGCGCTAAGCCTTATCTGTATAAATTTGACGAGTCTCCAGCATATGGAACGTTCCAAACTTCTATTTGGGACCCAGATCCGTCCCTTGGCCGCTTCAACCACATTATATCAGCTGGCAGGGGGGGCTAGTATGTTGGAGCTTGGGGTCGGCGGTCGATCCGGAAACTCAACATTGGCCATCATTGCAGACCCAGTGCATGCAAATATCAGGCCTCTGCAGCATAGTCCTTTTGCAAGTGGACTCCGTCTGGCTGGATGAGGGGGGATTTGAAATGGTTGATGCAGAACTTCTAGATCGCCCATCTTTTACCTTACCTACTGCTAGATGGGATGCGTACCTCAGCCGGTAACTACCTTACCGGAAAGGTACCTACAGAGCTTTGGGTTCCTAGATTACCTTGGCTTACTAAGTACCTTCTATACTTCCCTTTCTGCGAGGTGTATGCCATCCGCACAATGCGACTACCTGACCGGCCAGGAGGTATGTGATTCGGTGGTCCCGTTAGAACATTCTACCTTGGCATTGAGGTGTGAGATGTAATGGCGACAGAAACCAGAGAGTAAGAAGACAGTAGTTCAAGTATGACTTGCAGCAGCATGCTTCACCAAGTCGGCTTGACGCTAGCAAAAGTTCCTGCGCTGGTGGGCTGGATCTTGGGCTTGCATTTCCGACAACTTGCGTGAGCGTCGAGGCAGGCATTGTATCTGAGAACTTTACAGTTCAACATGCGCGGCGTTTGTGCGAGAAAGTCAACATGGCAGATGTTTCAATGGCTCGCGGCGTGCATTTGACATACCTCATCGCGGGAAAAGGCGACGGCCAACTGAAGATCCCCAACTTGAACATAGCTACCGAATCCGTACACTGCGAAGCGACTTGGCATTTGACGACAACCCGGGGTATCAAAGCTCCCATCTCATCTTAAAATACTTTGCCTGCCCTTGGATCTTGAGGTGTTTGTTTATCCGTTGGCATGGATCTGTATCCGTCCACTGTTGTCGAGCTAAGGCACCTTGCTATGAGAATGGAACAGTGAGATGAGATGAGAAAAGAGTGGGTGAGTGGGTGGTGGCCGCCCCGACGCTGCGGCCAGGGATCCGAGAGCCACCAGTTTCGCTTAATCGCATCCAATCAACAAATTCCCGGCTCGCTTGACGATGCAGAGTCCCGCTGGGGGCTCCCTGTCAACCTCGTAGCCCCCATCCCATCATGAGAACCCTGCGAATAGATTTCCTCCATTCATTCCACTTCTTCACCAACCTCACCTCCCCAGATCGCAAACTACCTATATCTTAATCCCTTCTTTCTTCCCACACCGCGAAAAAATGATAAGCTTGTACCTATGCTCCTGGCTCGCACACTCTGCTCCCCCTTGAACTTATTGCAGGAATATCTACCTTACTTGCTAGTGCCTGCATGAGGTGAGGTCAGGTAGCCTGTAGGTAAGCTATGCGCTTGTGGAGATCGTCAACCGCACGATTAGTCCAGACTCGACACTTATCCTCTTTCTCTTATGGGAAGTAAAAGACGTTCATCTGCAACCTCGCTTGACTTGACCCCAAGTGGCACATTCTTTCGTATGTTGTTGGCATCCTGCGTTGCAGAGCCCCTCTCTGGCCCCTGCCTGTCTTCTCCTTTACCGACATATTTTTCATCTGCACTCCGGTACCTCATCTCTCTTCTCGGCCTATGTCCGTAAGGTCCATTCACAATTCTTCAGTCGCTTTTTTTGGTTCCCCCCTCCCTCTTTCTTTCCGTCTGTCTGCTGTATGTGTATGTGCACACTTGCGTGTCAGTCTCTCACACACACACACCTACAAACGCTCATGGAGGTCCATGGGTCTTGCGCGCTTGTTCCCTCCCTGCGCACCTCATGGCCAAGGTAACTTGTAAGCGAAAGGTAGGTTGTTAGCAGACGGCTTATACGTTGCTTATACGTTGTCGCTGTTTAGTGTTGTCCCTCTCGCTTATTTCTCACACGCTCATTGAGCGCATTTCCCCCTTCCCACCCACTCAGCCAGTGTTGCTCCTTGTACGACGCCTCGCCCGTCACCACCGAGCCATCGCGCCTTAGTCTGTCAACCTCTTACTCTCTCGCCTGTTGCGCCTTCTCATTAGTTCGTCTCGTGTGTTGGCTTGTTCTCGACCGATCTCGCTTGTCCTGGAACAGCTCAAGGTCATCCTCATTGCTTGGCTACCTCATCAAGCTCATGTCCTTGAGCCTGGTTTTTGCGCCGCCCGCCCATCATGTCTCGCTCCTCGCCTCGACCGCTGCAATGCAACTGCATAGCTTAGCTTACCCTGTTTCTCTCACCTGTCTTATCTTCACCTTTGAGGCGTACGAAGACACTTATGCTGGCTCAAACAGGTGCTGCCCCGACCTCTGTTCGGACGGTTGCCGTCTTTTCTTGCGAAACAAGGATTTGTGTGTGGACCAGCTTCACTCACTCCATCGTTGGCTTTGGCCTTTCCACTCAGACCTTCACACCCCTGGGCTCTCAAACACCCTCAACCTCTGCCCTGCTCATCGCCGAACTTCCTTTCGCTTATGGTCGACTCATCTTTCCGTGATTTCATGCGCATACCTAGTGCCCTACCGTCGTCAGCATCATCCTCCTCCTCCTCACCATCCGGCCCGGATGACATAAGCGAATAGTCCCCGTAAACCTCACTTGCCGGCTCACCTTTCGAATCCGCCTCGCTAGACACCCCGTTTCTATTGGAGTGATCTCTTGGTGTTGCCCTTGTTGGCATGAAAACGTCCAAAGTCCCCGGCCGGACCACTCCGTGTGTCCAGATTACGCCGCAACACGACCTTGCAAACCCCCACACCTTCGTCTGGGAAGCCGTAGAGCACTCGCTATATCTAGCTCCTTCGCCCAACCCCTACCACATGGCTCCTGGTCGGTGTCACCGCACTCACACCTCGACTTCACCTTGCATACCATTCGCCTGCCAGAGCGTTTCGCAAACCTGCAGCATCCCGCCCGTCACGCATCGACCTTCCATAGGGCAGAACCTGTATCACAATACAGTGTCAACGACGTCCATGTGTGCGCCGCCTCCTCCGGCAAAGCCCATACAGACCGTTATAAGCCGTTTGGTACCCCAGGCCACCGTCCAACAAGTTCAGGTGATGCCATCGGTCCATTGTCAACGCGTCTATGGAGTCAAAGTCTCCACCGGAGCGAGCTTGGTTCTCGTCGTTCCCCCGCCGCCTATGGTCAAGCTGCTGCGATCCGAACGAGCCTCCGTCGTCTCGGAGGCTGCCGTATTAAGATGGCTTGCTGGCAAAACTGTCGAGACGCCTCTTCTCCATGAGAAAGTTACGGAAACAGAAGGCTCGCCTTGGTCAACCTCTCCCATTGCCACTTACGAGAGTGGGACCACGAATTGTTCTGATGTCGCGGTACAAGAACTGCGGGCTTTGGTTCCAACCCTCATATCACATACGGCCGCCACGAACGAGCTGGGCCTCGAATGCAATCTCGTCAAGCCAACACTAGGCACCCCCATCTCCGAACTCAGTCCACCACTCTCATCGGCCGAACGGAGAACAGTTGATTTTCAAACTGGTCAATTATATCGGCAGCTTTGTGAGCAAGTGTCACCCACTGGACGATTCGGACCTGCATTTGCTGTTCTACCTCCATGTGCGCCATCACCAGCTACAGACTCCACGAAGTCTACGAGGCGAGATGTAGCCGCGAGATTGATGGAATCAAGAGGCGTCCATACCTGGACTGTGGCCTTCCACTCAATGTTAGAGGCAGTGCTTCGTGACGGGGAGGATATGCAAGTAATGTTGGGTTACAGTGCCATTCGACGGCAGTTCAAGCGTTTCGAGCATGTGCTGGATGGAATCAAAACACCCCGGCTGGTGGCTGTTGACGTCGGCAAAGATGTCAACACCCTTGTGTTCAGAAAACGAGGCTCCGGAGACGACGCATCTCTGGTCGAGTACAGACCGCAGGGGAGATTTCAACACACAGACCGCCGCGGTAGTGACGCAAGTAGCGAGGTTGGCGATGAGTATGATACCGGCTCGGATTCCGGAGACGACAACGCGTCACTGACTCTCCAACACGACGATGGCATCGTCATGGCTGGCATGAAGGATTGGAGCAACTTCGTCTTTGGAGATCCACTTTTTGCTCTCAATATCGGTCGTGAGCCTAGTGGTGATTTTCTTGCGGGATTCAACTGGTCCTCAAACACTCGACACACCATCATCTCAATGTTTTCCTCGGATCTGATTGAGGACAAGGAGAGAGCTCACGTCCGCCTGCTGCTATACGACTGCTACCATACAATCACGCACATTGCGAGAACATACTTCCGCCCGCAAAAGGACATCAGCGGACGCGAGCTGGAGGCACGAAAGAGGTTGAACGCTATCCTGTCGCAGCTTGATGCTCTTGATGACGCCGGCACACGGAGGGGAAGAAGACCAAGTGGCGAATCAAGCCCGGCCAATAAACGGTCGAAGAGCGGGGAATCGTCCGACTAGTAGAAGATGGTCGTGTATCGAAAGGTGATGCTTATGATGAACGAACATTCTTAGAACATACTTCGGGAAAGACACGTCTAGAGCCTGGCGTACGGTTGCTTCCTGGAGGAAGATGCATTCGTCGTTTCAATAAAGACTGATTAATGACCTACAAGATCTTGGACGTTTGTCTTCTTCATCGCTTCTTCTTGCCTTCCCCGGCATCGTCGTCCTCGTCTCGCGGAAGCTGAAGTCCCATCATGCCTAGAATGTTTCCAGCCGGACCCGGCATACCACCCTGACCCTTGAAGCTTTCGAGGAGGTTCTTGGCTAGATTGTAGTCAATGTCAACTTCGTCGTCTGCCTCTTCATCATCATTGCTTGATTCAGGCCCACTGCCTCTCCCCTTCCCTTTCTGAGTTAGGGCTCTGTCTCGAGGTTGGTCCAACTTTAGAGCACCGTGTTCATTGAGCTCAGCTTCCAACTCAGCGGTAAGCTTCCGAAGGTCATCGCCGTCAGGTTCCTCGCCTCGCCCGACAGCTTTGGTATTCTCTCTTGCCGCAGGCGATTTGCTTGGAACATCACGAACGTCGAGCTCTATGGGTGCTAGTCCCATCATCTCTCTCATCATGCGAGAAAATTCCGCTTCGTCAAAGCTGACCGCCTTGTCTTCGTCTTCGTCATCTTCGTCTGTCTCCATGCCCTCGGATCCGTCGTCGTCGTCGTCATCAATGTCCATTTCATCGATCTCGGCACCGTCTAGTCCTGCATTCTCATCGTTGAGAAAGGCCTCGAACCGGGAGACGATTTTGCGCAGGTCTGCTTGTGTTGTGGCATCTCCAAGGCTCGGGTTCGGTTGAGATTCGGTCCCGCCTTGGCGTCCTGAAAGCTCTTTTTCAAAGTCTTCGTAGTTGATGTCCATCCAGGACTCGTCATCATCGCGACCGGCGTCCTTCCAGCTGCGGATTTGTTCGTCTGTAGGGAGCACTGAATCTCCATCCTCCTCAAGGTCCTGTACAATAATACTAGCCGCCCTGGCTTCACGACTATCGGCCTTGTCAACATTGTTGAGCATTATTTCGAATCCACATGTGAGTTTCATGCCCATCTCCAAATGTGTGTGCTCGACCCCCTTGACCCGTTGAATAATACCAGCCCAAGGGGCAGGCGGCTCGAACCTTTGCGATCTGAGTTGGGCGAACAACACCCTGGTAAATTTGACGCTCACCGTGACAAGATCGACCGGGGGAAAAGTATGACTTTTTTTGCTGGACAGAAGAGTGTTCAGATCTAGCGCATCGCGGAGGTAGAAGGACTCCACAGCTGGTGCAACGGCCTTGGGAATTTGGCGTAGGACATGGACAAGTCTTCGAGGAATTGTCACGAGCGAGTGGTGTATGGACTTGTGAATATGGCCAGGGTACTTTTCAAGGCGATAAAAAGCCTCAGCCTCTATGAACTCTGAGTGCAAGAGAGAGTCGGAGGTGGATTTTATAACGCGCAAAGCGTCCGATAATGCCAACAGCCGGGTTTTAGTGCCGTCTTCGGTTGTGTGAGGGATGATTCGTAGACGGCCATTGTTAATCCAAACACGGTTCTGGTCTGTCTCAGGACTCAACCATTTGGGAAGAACGTTGGCTGCCTCTATGAGGAGAAACTCCCCATCAGCGTCATAGACACGGATCCATGCAGTGGGTTGAACTTTGGAAAACTCTCTGAGGATATAGACAATCAGCCATTCGTCCTCGATCGAATCTCCGTAGTCAGTGATTCCTCGGAGAAACGAGTTGCCTGTCGGAGTCTTAGCACTCAAATCAAAAGATTGAATCATTCTTTGGGGGGGGGGGGGGGACGAACCTTGCTCTGTAACCACATCGAGAGCGAAGAGGCCCTTTTGCCAAATATAGTCTGCGGTCAGGGAGTTTGCAAGTTGCAGAGCAGTTTTTCGTAGATCGTCGAGTCTGGAAAGTTGCTTCAGGGGATCATTTGAGGCGTTGGGGTCAACAAGAAAAATGCTATACTCGACGCAATTTTCTCGCAGGTTGGGAGCATTCTGTTCGTGGCGGCCCCCTGCTTCTCCAGCTCCTCGTTGTGGATCAGCCATGACAAATAGCTTCGAGATACCTTGGCTGGCCAGATGAAGTTGTAAACGCGCAGAGAGCGGACAAAACTGTTGTTGCTGTTGTTCTGTTGTGGCAGAGCCGTGGGTTTTAGCTCGTGATTTACTCAGTCGCAGGCAGGGCTGGTATTTTGAGTGGAGGTTGGATGACTTCTTTCAATGGAAGCCAAGCGATTTCGAAAAATGCTCGAGAATTCTTGAGGACCTTTGCATTAAATTCGTAATTGCACATAAGTAGACCCTTAGTCTGGAGTGTGCAGGCTTGCCTTGCCTGAATTGTTCACCTCTATCTATCTATCTGATAGAGCTCTTTCGATGGTAACTGCATCCCAGACCTTGAAGACTATTGGTGCTGGAACACCTGCCTACGGCAAAGAGAGTCGTAGTCGCTCAGAAGAGCGCCCCACCAAAGCCCCGGTCACCTACCTTACCTTCAGGTGCCTTAGCACAGTGACTTTGATAAATGTCTGCCCGGAGCACTGTACGCGTTAAGTGTTCGATTAATGGAAGGTGCAGGCAGACATACCTTCCAGGTTAACTTACCTGACCTTACCTCAGCCCCCACCGCGGACAACCACACAGTCGCGTTCCGTCATCCGACGCGTCGCACGAAGCTTTCGTGGTCATTCAATCTGGAAGGCTACAGCCCAAGTTATCCAACGACAGGTCCCCAAAATCTGCGTCCACCTTTGTTAACACCAAGTGCGATAGGCGCACTGACTGTCTACTGCCCGACGTCGCAAAATCTCAACACAGGCGCATCTTCTGGGCTACTCGTCATGGCCCCCGCTAAGAGATCCCACGCCGTCTCGGAAGCAGGCAGCGGAGACGAGGAGGAGGAGCTGGTTGAGGTGCGGCAAAAAAGGTCCAACCTCGCTCAGGACGCACCCGTAGGTTTCTCCAAGAATGTGAGTTCAGAATATTACCTATGAGATCAACTGACACTTCTGGAATTCTGCAGTCCAAGCGGGTTCGACTATCAAACACTGCTCAGCCGACCAAGTCGATACCCCCAAGGGATGAACCCCCAAGCTCCGGAAGCGAAGACGGTGCGGACGAAGAAGAGGAAGACGGACGAGCCGGCCGTGAATCGCCTCCCCGAACCCAATACGAAATCGCCCGGGACGATGGTTTCAGGCACTTGCAGTACGAGGATCAAGACGATCAACGTGCTACGCAGAAAATCAAAAGCCGGCCGCAGCGCATCGGCGACAACCATGCTGCCGAGAACGGCATTATTGAGAGTGTCGAGTGCATTAACTTCATGTGCCACGAGCGCCTCTTTGTCGAGCTCGGTCCCCTGATCAATTTCATCGTCGGCGAGAATGGAAGTGGCAAGAGTGCAGTCCTCACAGCCCTGACCTTGTGTCTTGGTGGCAAGGCTAGCTCCACCAACAGAGGCGGAAGTCTCAAGAGCTTCATCAAGGAAGGGAGAGACAATTCTGTCATCATTGTGAGGATCAAGAACCAGGGCATTGACGCCTACCAGCCCGATCTGTACGGCGAAACCATCAGAGTCGAACGCCATTTCTCCAGGGCTGGCGCCAGTGGCTTCAAGCTGAAGAGCGTGACTGGGAAAACAATTTCTACAAAGAAGGCCGACGTTGATGAGATCTCTGAGTATTGGGCTTTGCAGGTCGACAATCCACTCAACGTTCTATCGCAGGACAATGCCCGACAATTTCTGAATTCTTCGTCACCCTCTATGAAGTACAAGTTTTTTGTTCGAGGTGTCCAGCTCGAACAGCTTGACAACGACTACAAACTCCTAACGGAAATTCTCGAGAGTCACGAAGCAAAGCTACCGAGCCTAGAGGAACATGTCCGTCGTGCGAAGAGAGAGCATTCGGAGGCGCAGAAGCTCAAGGACATTGCTCAGAAGAACGAAGAAATGAGAAAGACATATCGCCGTCTCCGTAACCAGCTTTACTGGTCACAGGTAGCTGAGCAAGAAGACGTGCTCGTCAAGTACAACGATGAGGTCGCTGCTCTGGACGGGGAAATCCAACGCGCTACTGTGCTCATTGAGCGCACAACACAGGCTTTAAGTCAGCGCGATGAGCACCTTGAGCGTGCTCAAGGTGCAGTCGAGACGGAATCACAGGAAGCCGGTACTATTCAGGAAAGTATCGCCCTCGCCGACGAAGCGTACCAAGAGGCCAAGCAATCAGTCACCGACATACACCATCAACTCAGAGATGTTCAACAACGGCTCAAAAGCGCCGGACAAGGGGTGGCTGATTTTGAGACCAAGATTGAAGCCGAGGAGCAGCGACTGGGCGCTGGAGCTGGGAGCGCCCGCCAGGAACAAGAGAGTCTTCTGAATGAAGCAAGAGCAGAAGAGTCTACAATTAAACAACAAATCGCCGACGAGAATGACACAGTGCCGCAACTCAGGGCAGAGCTCAATCATGCCCAGAGCGCCTTACAAGGGGGCAAGGCCGATGTCGATAGGAAGAGGGCGGAAATTACCTCAGCCGAGGGACGTTTGCGCAGCCTGGAGCAGAACAGAGGCTCTGTTTGGGCTGCTTATGATAAGAAGATACCTCTCCTTCTTCAAGCGATCGAGCGAGAAAACGGGTTCCACGAAAAGCCCGTTGGGCCCATTGGAGCCCATGTTCAGCTCACTCAACCTGAGTGGTCCCCAATTTTGGAGACGGTCTTTGGCGCAACGCTGGATGGCTTCCTTGTATCCAACAAGTCTGACCAACAACGACTGACAAAACTCATGCAACAAGTCAACTTGCAGCGCTTTCCCCCAATCATCATCAGCAAACGGCTGCCACTCAACACCAAACTCAGGGAGCCGGACGCAGCCTTTGACACTGTTCTCCGGGTACTCAATTTCGACAATGAATGGGTCCGCAGTCAGCTCATTGTGGCACACACTATCGACAAAATC